CTCAATTAATTTAGATATCTAGACTAGTGATCTCTTGTAGACATTTATATAGAAGCCTGGCAAATGTCACTAAGAAGTCTGCAAATATTTAAGACGTACATGAGGATTTAGGTATGAATTTAATCACAATTTCCATAAATGTGAAACGTGCCTAGTGCATCAAATATTCATTGTGTATGAAATTTTCACTAGGCTTCTATGGTGAATTTGGTGTCTATGAAGGTTAGTCTCATGCATTCAAGAAAATAAGTCATCAATGGGTCATAAGAAAGTGGATAAATCAAATTTAACACAAGCAGTCCAATTTCAATGATACTAATGGTGCATCATTTAGCTTACTAGTCACACATGAGATTAAGATCATATGAGCTACTAGAATTTTTTTTTACAACGTAGATTACATGTGCATATTAGTCAATAAGAGGCAATGATGCATGCCTCACTTACAGATGAAACCATTGACCTCGTCCAAAAAAAACTGGGGACAAATCATGATATGACCACTCACTTCATATGTTTGTCCAAACGGACAGTTCGAACACTTAAACCATAAAAAATGTTGAGGTCTAATTCACGTCAAAAGATTAATATCCTGAATTTAGCAACACACCGACACAGATGGCAAATGTGGTCCTCAAGGTGATGTATTATTCACCTGTTAATACTTAATAAGCTTGACCTTGTTGGTGATTTGATTCTAAGCCTGGCTAACAAAGATGTGATCTGAAGGGATATTAGTTTTATTTATTTCTCATACCAACTGGTATAAGCAAGGAATTAAATCGTCCGCAGCTTAAATAGCAAACAGTTTAGATAAGCTCATAAAGAATTATGAGACTTGACAACTAAAGCTTCTTTAATGGTTCAACAAATTTTGACACTGTTTTAATAAGCATTCAATTAGCATTCAATAAACCATAACTCTTAATAAACTACATGCCATCTATCTGAAGCTTGAAGTCATCACTTTGAATTCATCAGCACCCTTCATATATCTAGTACAGATTTAAGTGCAAGAGACCAAACCACTTGAAAAGATAAAAGAAGTTATCAATCAGCAATCATGTAAATTTCAATGTAGAGGACAAAAGGCAGGAAATAGCAATCAGAAAATAAATTCAGCTGTATGGTAAAAGAATGTAAAGCTAAAATAAGATCAGGTATAGGGTAAAAAATGTGAAGCTATCTCTATTAACATACCTATTACTATTTAAAGAGAAAGGCAAGAAATAGACATGTACCTTTCAATGTAGAGGACAAAAGGCAGTAGCGACGAAGGAGGAGGAGGAGGAGGAGGTAGAGGAGCTCGAATCTACAAATGAAGGAGGCGGAGCTCGAATCAGAGGAGGAGCTCGAATTAGGGATTTTAGGGGAGGAGGCGGCGATAACTCCGACGACGGCAACGATGAGAGGAGGGCGGCGCTTGTTTTGGCGAGAGAGAGGGAAGGAGGGAGGGCGGCGCTGGTTTTGGCGACGAGAAAGGGAGGGAGGCGGAGAGTGAGCTCTGACGATGACGATGAGAGGAGGGCGGCGGCGATGGATTTGGCGAGAGAGAGTGAGGGAGGGAGGGAATTAGAGAGAGATCGGAAATTTTTGGGAGCGGAATTTTTTGGCTCAGCGGCGATTTTAGGGATTTGAGAGAGAGACAGATTTCCTTTGAGCGGTGCGGTCAAACCATGGGCTTTACTAAAGCTCTCCAAAGGCCACTAACAATTATTAAGCCCACAAACAATTATTAGACCTATGGCAACATTTTATATTAAATGTTGTATTAGACCCTGAAAATCGTTACGATAGATATCTAACGCAACAGTTAAAACCGTTGCGCCTTAACCGTTGCAATAGATCAATTATGTGGTAGTGGGGGCCCACACATGATTTTTTTAAAAAAATCATATGTGGGCCCCACTGCACTGTAGAGAGAGAGAGATTGTGGTTGAAGGTGTGGTTCACAGTATGCCTGTAACACCACTCAAACTTAAAACACTTAAAAGTTGTTTTGAAATAAGTGTTGCGTTTTTTGTTTGAGAATCATTTAGCTCAAAAAGCACCGTGGTTTCCAAACTCATGGTGTTTCGTTTTTGGCAAAAACACCATGGAAACAAATAAAACGCCATGGTATCAAAACGGAGCCATAGTTATTTGTTTCCATTACAATTCGACTTTGAACACTCTCCTTAAATTTTACGTCATGCATGCATCACTTGCGGAAGAGTACTTTCTCCAATTAATATATTTCTTGGAGCATTGTTATTCTTTCTCTCATGTTCTGTACTCTCCACTTTCCCAACTAATAACACTGATCATCTACCTGCTCCCACCTCAAGGATTTGGCAGAATCTCTGTCCACATTCATTAGCTGGGGAGAACAAACGTATCAAGCGCAAAAGGATCGAGAGCAGCGACATCCCACGCTCCTTGGCCAATGGAATGAAAGCCCGATTAATGGATCACCGTCTGTCCCTATCAAACGCTCCCAAACCAGGATTCGGATCCTCTCCACTACAAAAAAAATAGTAGAGGGACCACTACATAATCACAGCTATTATTTCAGTCTTGATCACGCTCCCAAACCATGCATGACCACATAACTTTTCATCACGAAGCTCCGACCTACACCAGAAGAACCATGATCCAAAGGGGCCCCACTGAGCCGCTGACTAGGATATATCGAGGTCGGGTGCCGCGGTGCGGACCGAAGATAGCCTGCTTTGAAAAAACGGTCCAATTCTGTTCCATTTTTTGCCGAACATTATTTCAGTCTTGATCAGGGAGAGGGTTTCTAGACATGCTCCGATACTTTGTAATTATCTATATTATTATTTTTTGTAATTATTAATTTATCATGATGTTTTTAGATTTAATTGCACATTTCACTGGGAAAAAAATATATCAAACGTGAGCCGGAGCTAGAGTAAACAACAAATTGATAAGAGGAATATAAGAAAAAACCACTTTAATAGTTTAGCCGTTGAAGAAATTAGTCTCCTTCATTTAAGGCCTAACATCATGTATATTGTGATTGAATAATGACTTAGAGCAAGTGCAACAAGCTTTCAATTGAGTCCTAATCAGCAAGCTCCAAAGAGCTCTCAAGACATAACCCACCATTTTCAATGCCACATCACCCTACTAACTAATGTTGATCTCCAACAAACTCCTAGTTAGGAGCTCCACGATATCAAAAAAAAAAAAACCCTCTTCCATTTTAGTTTTGTAACAATATCAAAAAAACCTTCTTCCATTTAACAACTATTTTCAACTTGGGTTTTGGGTTTAAAAGTAGGGGGGTTTTGTAAAAGAGTACTTTCTCCAATTAATATATTTCTTGGAGCATTGTTATTCTTTCTCTCATGTTCTGTACTCTCCACTTTCCCAACTAATAACACTGATCATCTACCTGCTCCCACCTCAAGGATTTGGCAGAATCTCTGTCCACATTCATTAGCTGGGGAGAACAAACGTATCAAGCGCAAAAGGATCGAGAGCAGCGACATCCCACGCTCCTTGGCCAATGGAATGAAAGCCCGATTAATGGATCACCGTCTGTCCCTATCAAACGCTCCCAAACCAGGATTCGGATCCTCTCCACTACAAAAAAAATAGTAGAGGGACCACTACATAATCACAGCTATTATTTCAGTCTTGATCACGCTCCCAAACCATGCATGACCACATAACTTTTCATCACGAAGCTCCGACCTACACCAGAAGAACCATGATCCAAAGGGGCCCCACTGAGCCGCTGACTAGGATATATCGAGGTCGGGTGCCGCGGTGCGGACCGAAGATAGCCTGCTTTGAAAAAACGGTCCAATTCTGTTCCATTTTTTGCCGAACATTATTTCAGTCTTGATCAGGGAGAGGGTTTCTAGACATGCTCCGATACTTTGTAATTATCTATATTATTATTTTTTGTAATTATTAATTTATCATGATGTTTTTAGATTTAATTGCACATTTCACTGGGAAAAAAATATATCAAACGTGAGCCGGAGCTAGAGTAAACAACAAATTGATAAGAGGAATATAAGAAAAAACCACTTTAATAGTTTAGCCGTTGAAGAAATTAGTCTCCTTCATTTAAGGCCTAACATCATGTATATTGTGATTGAATAATGACTTAGAGCAAGTGCAACAAGCTTTCAATTGAGTCCTAATCAGCAAGCTCCAAAGAGCTCTCAAGACATAACCCACCATTTTCAATGCCACATCACCCTACTAACTAATGTTGATCTCCAACAAACTCCTAGTTAGGAGCTCCACGATATCAAAAAAAAAAAAACCCTCTTCCATTTTAGTTTTGTAACAATATCAAAAAAACCTTCTTCCATTTAACAACTATTTTCAACTTGGGTTTTGGGTTTAAAAGTAGGGGGGTTTTGTAAATTTTTTTTTAATGCTTGGGAGCTCCCAAGCGCTTCACAAATTTGTGGAGCGCTTGGGAGCTCCCAAGAGCTCCGGTGGGCCCCACTGGCCACATCAGCCTAGGGAGCCCCTTGGGAGCTTGCTGGGAGTTTGTTGGAGGGGGGTTCACGAGCTCCAACCGTCACGTAGGCCTTGAGAGCGGCGGTGGGAGCTTGATGCACTTGCTCTTAGGGACTAAAAAACATGGAGCATGTGAGGTGTCAGCTCCCTGTCCCATGATGCACTGTTCATGGGAGTCGGCTCCCTATCCTATAATGTATTGTTCATAGTTCATGAACAATACATCATGAGACAAGTAACCGATATCATGAGAGTAGGAGCCGACAACTTATCTGGGCCCATGTAGTTTTTTTGGTCCTGTAGCACCACCTTGTCATTATAAGCGGTAGGCGTTAGGTGATGATGTTGACCTGATAGTCAAACCCTTTACCGGTGCAAAATGACAGCATCACCCCTATTTCCCGGTGATCTGTAGAGCTTTCAGCCTTTCTGACTTCAACGAAACCGGCGTTTGTCGGTCGCCTTCCTTCTTGGACCCCAAGAATCCCGACTGTCAGTATTTAAGACCTCGTTGTTCGGCGCTGCCGTCCCCGTGCTCTCATTTTCTGCTCTCATCTTCTGGAAAAAAAAAGAAAGAAATAAAGAGAGAGAGACAGAGAGGGAGAGGAAAAATGGCGTTCGAAAAGATCAAGGTCGCGAATCCGATCGTTGAGATGGATGGTGAGATCTCGTTCTTTTGATCCATTTATTCCTTGCATAGATCTGTTCGTTTTATTATTATTATTATTATTATTATTATTATTATTTTGGTGTTTAGATCTTTTAACTTGATCTCTTGTTTGTTCTCTTCTATCATTTTGTTGCTAATGACATTTGAGTGACTGATCGAATCCTCAGAGTCTAGTGCCGATTATTCTGGAGATTTAGGATCCGTTTCAAAGTTTGACCTTCAGATTCTTCGAGTAGAAATCTCATGATTTGCCGAAAATGGATAATACTAGAAATTTATTAGATCTTCTTTTTGAAGGAGTTGATTTTTTCTTGGCTACTTCCTTGGGTTTCTAATTTTTTTATTGTATATTTGATTGTGGATTCAAGTGTTTGTAAACTTATCTCATCTGATTTCATTCAAGTGTTTGTGAATGATCTGTACTAATTCAAGTAGGGTGGAGAAGTTGATTTCTATGAGCCAGAGCAATTCGCTATTAGCCCTCAGATTAACTTTGTTCATAGTATTCTCATCAATCTTTTTAAGTTATACTTCTACTATCAAAGTTTATTAAGTGGTGAATGGTGAAATAGTGCTCATTGTTTTCACGCGTAGAGTTATAATTAATTGAATATTTTTGTTGCATTTAGTGACTTAACGTGAATGAAAGGACAAATTTCTGTGTAGGAATATAGGAATAGAAGATCTAAGGGACTATGCAAGACTAATTCGATGAATTAATAACAAAAATGTAAATGAAAAGGAAGAAAAGAAAAAAAAAATAAAGAAAATGCCAAAAAATGCATCATCGTGTTATTTTTATTACTGAAAGCTGGTATTTGTCTATTTATTCATTTTTTTTGTATGTTTTCCGAAAATTTGCGTGGAAATTACTTTGGGAGAAACTAATAACTATATGCATCTTCAGCTGCCTTACGCTTTTCTACTTTGTGTATTGTGAATCAAGTCTTTCTTTGCAATGTTTCTTATGTTAATCTTTCATGCAGGGGATGAGATGACCCGAGTCTTTTGGAAATCAATTAAAGATAAGGTATTAGAACTGACTAGTCTAAATTTGTGTTATATTATGCTATATGTTTTCTTTCAATGTGAACTAAGATGGTACGTTGATGACCTTGCAGCTTATTTTTCCCTTCTTGGATTTGGATATAAAGTACTTTGACCTTGGCCTTCCTCATCGTGATGCCACCGAAGATAAAGTTACAGTAGAAAGTGCGGAAGCTACTCTTAAGTAAGCATCAACATGTTATACTTATAATTTTTAATTTATGTATCTAGCCCTAAGAAATAATAGGTTATAGTGCTTCAATAATTTATTCCATGTCTACTTTTATTTTTTACTTGAGTTAACTATTTCAAATATGTTCATCGGTGTCTATTTTAGGTTTTTGCCCAGTTCTCTCTGTTTCTTTATATTAAAAAAGAAAGGTTTGTCACCAAGAATATCTTAATTATCTGTGGACTGGAATCAAGCTAACATGACCCTCTTGCAGGTATAATGTAGCAATCAAATGTGCAACAATAACTCCAGGTAAAGCTTCTCTCTTTATACTCATTGTTGTCATTGTAGTGTAAAATTCTTAATTCTGATTGCATTTGACTTTTATTTCTCTGCAATATTTGTTATGCAGATGAAGCTCGGATGGAGGAATTCAAACTGAAATCCATGTGGAAAAGTCCTAATGGAACAATCAGAAACATCTTGAATGGTGTGATAACTTGTTTTCTTTGATTGTCAAAAAAGTTAATCGTGGATGTTAGACATGTAATTTTATTTGAGCAAGATCATAATCTTTTCTCTTTGTAGGTACTGTATTTAGAGAGCCTATTATCTGTAAAAACGTCCCCCGGCTTGTACCAGGTACTTAAAAATCTCGTGTCTAATATAACAGCATTCGCAGATAAAAGGTTGGCTTTTTTAGCCTTATTATTCTTCTTCTTCTCATCCTCCTCCTTCTGTTGCCCCGCAGGATGGACAAAGCCCATATGCATTGGAAGGCATGCATTTGGCGATCAGTACAGAGCAACTGATTTAGTTGTCAAAGGACCTGGCAAGCTCAAATTAGTATTTGGTACGGCCTATTATTGTTGCATTGTTCATTTATAACATAGGAAAAAGTTACGTTAGTAGTTTATTTGCTTATACCTTTTAACACTTGAATTTTGTTAGTGTAGAAAGTAGCTTCATTGTTGCCCCTGTTCACTACTTGATATATTTGTTTCTCTATCTTATCGTATATTTTTAATTCATATTTCACAGAGGGAAAAGAAGAGGAGGTACAATTAGAGGTTTTCAACTTCACCGGTGCCGGAGGTGTAGCCTTATCAATGTACAACACAGACGAGGTATTAGATCTTTATTTTGTTTATCCAACTGCTTTATATGTTAAAATGATATTCTTTGCCTCCATCCTAAAATTAATATACCATCATTCAATTGTGTCAGTCTATCCGTGCCTTTGCTGAGGCTTCGATGAATACTGCCTACGAGAAGAAGTGGCCTCTTTATTTGAGCACAAAAAATACGATTCTGAAGAAATATGACGGAAGGTATGCATATTATATACCCGTATTAGGTTACAACCATTTTTATTATGTCCTAACACCTGCCCCTTCACCTGCTTGAATTGGGGATGATTCAATTTCTCACTTGTTTTTTCTACCTTGCAGGTTCAAGGACATATTCCAGGAAGTTTATGAAGCTGGATGGAAATCCAAGTTTGAGGATGCTGGAATATGGTGAGGATGGCTTGTGGTTGCTTGTGCATGCAAATATTTAAAGTTTATAGCATCAGTCTCATGTTTCTGATAAATCGACAGGTATGAACATCGTCTCATTGATGATATGGTTGCATATGCACTTAAAAGTGAAGGTGGCTACGTATGGGCTTGCAAGAACTATGACGGAGATGTCCAGAGTGATTTCTTAGCTCAAGGTTCACACTTCATTGAGTTGATTTTCCTCTCTTATTTGGTTTCTCTTAAATTTGCTTACAGGAATTTCTAGAATATGTTGAAGCTTGTGGTGTATACAATCAATCTGAGTCAGGATATACATATCTATGCACTGATTAAATTTTGTCGTGGTTCTCCAGGTTTTGGATCTCTAGGCTTGATGACGTCAGTACTGGTAAGTATTGTATGAATATGCTTGGTTTTAGAGATGAACCGTCTTTAATATTGTGTCTTTAAACTTTGGGTCTATGCTTGACTACATATTACGTCTTAGATGCTAGGATTTTTAACTCAGTCTTTATTCAAAAGGAAAAATGTTGGGTTGAAAACCTGTCAGGGATTTCATCTGTTTCCTAAAGGATACATATTTTTGCATCATAACCTACAGAGTTTGTTTTGATTGCCACATTAATTCCAACTTAAATCATTAATTTTCACCAAACAAGTCGTTCTGTAGCGAGGAAAGATTCTTTGGATTAGAGAAAAGGCATCCATGTTTCTAATCTAAAGAAAAGGCCCTTTTCCAATCGGAATAAAATTTTAATAGAAAGTTGATAGCCAAATGAGTCATTACTTTGGATTTCTGAAATTCTTTGGAACAAGGAATGGAGTTTATAGGCTATATATATATCTTACGATTGGGTTTATCAAAACATGCCCAAAATTTTGTCAGTCAATTTGCTTCTAAACTGGATCCTGAGCTGTTTGTGTTTGTCATTATATTGATCGGGTTTATCAAATCATGCCCAAATTTTTGTGAGTCAATTTGCTTCTAAACTGGATCCTGAGCAGTTTGTGTTTGTCGTTATATTGTTAACACTCAGTTTTTCCCCCTCATTCAGTAGTGAGTAAAGGCGAAACCTACTTCTGAAAATTTCATCTGTTTCAGGTTTGTCCTGATGGAAAAACAATTGAAGCTGAAGCAGCTCATGGAACAGTAACCCGACACTACAGGGTCCACCAAAAAGGAGGCGAAACTAGTACGAATAGCATAGCTTCAATCTTTGCATGGTCTCGAGGGCTTGCACACAGGTACAATATTACTGCCCGACCTTAGGGGGTTGTTAGTGGGAAAAATTTTCCGGATGCGAACTTCAAAATCTCCAAGCTGTGTTAGTTAGTGAAGGTTTTAAGCTTTTATTTAAACATGATGTGTAGCCTCTTAATTAAGGGTAAGGTGCTAGCGAAGAGCTATTAAAGTAGTTATCCAAACTTATTATTATTTAACGAATGATAACATATTGTTCTAGTTAAATTTTAGAACTGCCTGTTGTAAATTCAAGTGTGCAAGGTGCACACTGTATTTGATAGCCATCTAAAAACTAGATTCTAAAATGGAGCTTGTATCTCAAAACCCTTCCACTAGTTCCCCCTAGTGAGTTTAAAACTAAATATTTTGGAATATATTTAGTTATGTCATAGAATTATACCCTTTTATTGCACCTTTTTGAAGACTATATATCTAATAATTTTTAGATATTGTTTGCATGTGTTCACAAATAATATATTGTCAAGAAATGGATTGTTTATTTTAACATGGATGAATCATATTTTAACATGGATGAAATCACAGTTTCATTGCTTTACATAGCAACTAGGGTTGCATCAAAATATACGTATCCGATGATTTATCTATATCCGTAAATGTTAGGATGCAGATATAGTTACTAACGGTTACATATATGTAGTGAAATACCCGTATCTGTATCCGAAATATCCAAATATATGTTGATCATACAGTTGCAATTGTTTTAATTATTAGATTAATGCAATTGAGGCTGCTTTTGATGAGCTTTTCGGATATTACAAACATTAATTAGTTTTTATGAACTATATTCTTTTCAATATTATCTGTTTTTTGCATATCGGTTTTGTATCCGCAAGTGTATATGTTTTTTTTTTTCGATTTTAGTGAATACGGTTATGAGTTTTCCTTACTATGGCATATCCGTATCCATACGTGTGATTGGTGATTAGTAAGCGGATATGGATATGGTAAGTATCATATCCGAACCGTATCCGAACCGTTTGCACTCCTAATGGCAACTATATGAATATGATCATGATAGAACCGATAATATTGTGAGTTGTTTGCTTGGAATTTTAAACTGCTCTACGTGATTTGGTGTGTGAACAGAGCCAAGCTAGATGACAATGCTAGATTGCTTGATTTCACTCAAAAACTTGAAGCTTCTTGCATTGGAACTGTGGAGTCTGGGAAGATGACCAAAGATCTTGCCCTCCTCATTCATGGATCCAAGTATTATCTGGCTCTTTTAACTACTTTTCGTCTATTAAAACTATTTCTCTTCAATTTATTAAATGGAAAAGCCAAAAAATGCTCTATTTTCCAGGGTGACCCGTGATCAGTATCTGAATACTGAGGAGTTCATTGATGCTGTTGCCGCAGAGCTTAGAGCAAGACTCTGAGCAAAGAGGTATTTTTTATTATTACTTAGTGACAATTGGCTTGTAATATCCTTAATTTTAAATGCATTCTGATTTTTTTTCCTGAACATCATTTGTTGCCCTAATATTGATTGTATTGTTTACTCCAGGTGTGAGCGGCATTAGGATGTGATGAAGAGGCATTTTTACTAAAATAAGAAAAGTTTTTCCCTTTGCCATCATTGTTTGAGGTGAACTCAAATATTTTAAAGAATTTTGTACTTGTGCGAATGCAAGTTGAGAACACTTTTCATTTTCATCTATTGAGACCTGTAGCATTGGGTTCTTGTGGTACTTTGTGTATGCCATTTGATCAATGATTTTTCTTGGATGAAGTTTGCTGCCTATGGATTTGGTATGGTACAGAATTCGATCTTCCATATTTTCTTATCTACTCTCACAATTTGTTAGAATTGGTCCGTTTTTTCGAATACACCCTTATAAAAAGGGACTACATTCTCATGTAATAAGCAACGAGATTTTCCCTAGCCATTTGAAAAATATAGAGGGAAAATCTTGCATAGATACAGCACTTACATTCACTTTTTGCCCGTCATTGGCCATAACGTCCGCACATCGATTACCTCCCCTCCATATATGGCTAACTTTGAACCGTTGCAAAGAGAGAAGCATTTGTTACAATCACAAAGAAGTGATTCATCATCACAAGCTACAGGCTTTTGAAGTTGAGAGATTGTGCTAAGAGAGTCTCCTTGGCCAAATATTTTGGAAGCTTGTTGATAATTGTATATAGCCCAAACTGAGTTGCCTTCAATTCAGCACCCGCAACAGAAGTACCTGAGGCGTGCTCGGAACTGGCAAGAATAATTTGACCGTTGTGATTCCTCGTAACAAAACCGGCTCCTGCTTGTGGATAGTTAGCATGCTGGGAAACATCAAAGTCAACCTTAATCGTTCCAAAGTTGGGCAAACGCCATCTCACCTGATCGATCGTGGTAAATTTCCTGCGATATATAGCGTACAATGGTCATTGTACTTAAACCATATTTAATTGTCAATTTATACGCTGCAGATTGATCGGTGGCCTGATTCCTTTCAGGTTCTTTTTTAGAGTCCAATGGGAACTTCACTAGGAACAAGAAGATCAAACACCGGAATGTGCTTTTTACAGCTACTTTCAGTTTGTGCCTGTCGAGGGCACCCAACAATTTGGTTTTTAATAAAATCAGTACTTCTCCCCAACAATCTGATTTTTAATATTGCAAACTTCGTTGTATCCTGAGCAGGCACATCAACTGAAGGAGAAGGCTGCGTCTGTGCGAGACACTGCCAGGGAACAGGGGACGGATGGTCTAATCCAACACAAGGGGAATGGAATTGTTTGGAGATGATTTCTGAGCATTTGTCGTTTACGAGTGATGTTTATTCAAACACTGTTTTTTTTTACCCCTCTGTTGATGGACTGATAAGAGTTGGGAGACTTCCACCCTTGTACGGTTGTATTATGGTTTCTCTTTTTGCCTTGGTGGGGATGTTAGTTTTGGGTCCGGTTTTTGCCAAAGCTACACCACTCTGTTTTGCTGCTGGTGACGACTATGTCCTCTCCCTGCACTTATGCAGTTCTGGTTTGACATTGGCAGTTTCCAGCTTTTCATACTAACTACTCTGATACTCTCTCTCTCCCCCACCTATATAAAAAACCAACTAAGGGTCCGTTTGGATAATGAAAGTATTGGAAGTACGAAGTAGGTTACAGAAGTAACTTTCAAAACTATGAAATAGGAAATAACATTTTTTTTTGTTTGTTTCATATATTTTTAGAAGTAATGGAAGTAGAACTTCTTCCTCTTCATAAAAATTGGATGAATGGTGGACAAGTCCTTTACAATTGTAATTGAAAGGGTAAAAATATAATTTTATAACAATTTAATGTTTTCTCTTTACTTTTCTTTTTTGCTTCTATAATGTTATATATCATCCAATGTCATAAGAAAAAAGAACCCAAATAATTAAATA